CAGCCTTAAAAGGCCACAGGCTTTGTCAAGCTGTTTGCTATCTTTTCAAAAACCCAAAACTTTTCTCACACCTTTCTCTTTTCGTATGACCTTGAAAAGAAAACGCGCGAACAAAGTAGCAACAACAAACGAACGGAAATAGAGCGATTTGATTAGTTTGTCGAACGGATATAAACGCGCTTTGCTTTTGGATGGTTAAGTGAACGCTCGGATGAAAAAAAACGTCACGCCCGAGGAGAACTTTCTAGAAATCCATCGATACTTCGCTTTTACGTCATACTGCAACACGATTAACCAATCGAACCATTCCTTCTCCATATAAGGGTTTTCTTTGGCGGGAAAACGAAGAGGCCATGTTTGATCTTTTCATCCAATGGCTGATAAATAACGAACACTTACCGAAATCATTTTTCAAGGACATACGAAAATCGCCCTATTTAGGTATTGAAATTGTTTCCTATCGTCTCTTGCAACGGATGGCAAGGATGGACATGGATTGAAACTGTTTTAATTGCTATGCCTGCAATAATCACCCCCCAAACTACTACGGTTAGTGATCCCTGATGAAATTGTTTGATATCTTCTTCATACCTCTACAGGAGCAACCTTAAGATCAACATTTGAACTCTTATTTCTTGCCTCTATTCATTTCCTACAGAAGTAGTGGGGAGAAGTTGATAAATTATCAAGCAAATTCATCTTGTGTGATCATGTCCTTAATTCTCATGACAACTTTGTTTTACAAAGCGGTGATGTTACAAGGAGAAATTTGATGCTGATCACTCTTAGGTCTTACAGGGGTAAGAGCGAGTTGGCTGTACAGGCTTTTTTTCTACTTGTTGACGGAGACATTGGGTTTTAACGCCCGGGCATTTGCTATATATTCTTTTACTTCTTTTCCATTTCTGCATGTAAGCTAAATGAAAAAATAAATATTCCTTAAGCCACCATTCACTGAGATTGAAAAGAATAATTGTTTTAGTAAATACACACGAACTGATCTAAAAAAAAAATCAGAGAGGGAACCATTAAAAAGTACGATTTGATTGATGGATCAAATCACGGGAAAGTTTAATAATAGATCTTTCAGTTGCAGAATTTTCAAACATGGCCATTCATGCACACAAGTTTATCACTACGCAAACAACAGCGTAATGGCTTAAATGGAACCCGTTAAAAGTTTGAGTTGTTTCCTTACCTGAGAAGAAAAGTAGAGCTTTGTTGTTTTGTGGGTTTGTTGTGTCGTTCTTCGCATGAAGTGCTGTAAAAATGGCGGCTCGGTTGCTCGAGGTAAGACGTCGTCTTCCTGTACCATTCTTTTTCCTGTTTACTTGAAACGTAGAATTTTTGCAAACATTTGTTTTCAAATTTGTTTATCATAAATAAACTTTGATTTTTGGGCCAAATTTTCTTGTTAGGAGACGTTAAGTACAAGAGACGGCTTCTTCTACGCGAATAAACGGGAGTTGTAAACAATCCATCGAGCACAAAACTCAGCTACAGTAAATGGAAAAACGCCGTTTTGAATCCTTCCAAGCTTTTTCTTGCCTTAAAAAAAAGTCAACCCTAGGATTTTGTCACCTCGCTAGGAGGTGAATGTTGTTGAATAGTCCGAGATAGCGAACCAATCAGATTGCTTAAATCACCAAGATCACTGAGTGTGTATATACTAATGAGGGATGCTCACTTGTAAACACAAAAACTGGGGGGAACATTTGAAGCCCCATTTAATTACCTTCCTTGTTTTCAATGTCCTTGAATCTTAGCGGAGATGTAAACTGTAAACGGGATTGTCAAGTTTTTAAAAAATTTTATCGAGCTGTTTGTAAATAACCGTGAAATTTGTAGGCGTGGATCAAATTACATACAAAAATGGTAAAGAAAGTAGCCGATAGTAGGCTAATCAAATTCCCCTTTATCGCAATCGGCCAAAGCAATCCCCCTCTTTTTTTGTACAAAGTTTCAGATGAAATCTAACCACTATGAGATAAAACTGCATTTCCAGACCTTATTATTTTCTTAGATATTAGCTTATTATGTCGATGGCATCTTTATTCACTGTTTCCCAAACGCTCTCATAGAATTAGTTCAAACTTTGCCATAACCGAGGTAACTAAGGGAGGTACAAGCTCCCTAAAGCGATTTCTGAAAAAACTTCCTAGTACCGAGAAATACAAAGGCAAGTAAAAAACGTAATGGCGTCATTATGTTCCCATGGTAACTCTGATGTCAATAAAACATGGATCATAACAAATTGTCATCTTTATATAGTGCAACTTGGGTAACCTTTTTCCGATATCTTTGTTGATGCTTGTGGGGAAGCATACTCCCTAAAAAATCCAGTCGGGCCACCTTAAGAGAGACCTTACGCTGGGATCGTCTTTGTGCAAATAAATCTATTTCGATGTTCCATTACAACTGTGTCTTTTTTTGAAAGGCAAAAATGTTTATATCGGTACGATGGAAAATCGGATCATAATCGTAAACGTTTGCATTGTATTAAATCACAATTATAGCACGTCATAGCCAATAAGTTACACCAAACAAAAAGAAAACTACATGCATACCCATCCGGAAATTTTTTGAAATGAATCTGCATTGAAATGCAATCTGGTACATTTTGAGACACAATTTTAAGAAATCTTACAGTGTGTGCACTGACCTCGTCGAGTCTGGACGATTTTTCCGTTACAGTTACTTATATACTGTAATGATAATATTTTTGGGGGCGGAAGCTGGGCATTTTGAGGGGGGAAACTTCTATCTTTCAAATACCCTAGATAGAACCCTGAGATCGTTCAGTTTTAAATCCATATTGGATTGGACTACTGGAACAATTGTGAAACACTCGTGTACGTACTCTCCAAGTTGATTCACGTATTACCGAGAGCAGCTAAGAGCCATAATGGCTCTTGGTTCCTACGATGTCGCAGCAAAAGATGTAATGCGGCAAATTCAATCGGCAAAAAATTAAACGCACCTAAAGAGTGACACTGACAATTGTCTTTATCAACTATTGTTTGTTTTAAGACAGAGGCCATTTGCGCAAGGCCGTAAAGAATGTATTTCCCACGCACTTTCACCGCTAACACAGCTGCAAAAGTATAAACAGATAACTTCTGCCTGTTATTTGTATCTTTATTCCTTGACATTTTCAAATAGAACTGAGTGATACAACTCATAATCGCTTTACTTTTGTCGTGTAAGTTCCGGCGCACGGATCATGGGAGGGCTTCAAAACCAAAAGGCGCACGTGAAAAGCTTCCCACGATCCCTTGCGCCGCGACTACCTCGGAAAAAACTTAAGAAACGCCTGGGACGAGGCAGGGCAGGCTGGTCTGAAGCAAAATAAAACAGTACTGTTCCGAGAATGTCAAATCCAGCTGGTTCGCTTGACTTTTCTATGCCGTGGAAACTCAGTGATGTTGTGTTGGTCGTGGAAGAAGACAGATTTCATGTTCATCGCTGTATTCTGGGGATGTGGTCTGAAGTATTCTCAACGATGTTTACCTAACAATTCAAAGAGAAAACAGCTGAAGAAGTTCCTTTTCCGGGAAAGAAATCAGCTGAAATCAAGGGAAATGCTGCTGCTGATTTATCCAACGTCTGCAAAACCGATCGATGAAAGCAACTACGCATTCCTACTCGACCTTGCGAAAGAGTACATGATGGCTAAGATCACTGAGAAATGTGAAAGTTACTTCGTTGGTCGTTTGGGTTCTGCCGAGAGTTGCACTGGTGCATGTGTGTGTGGAAATTTGCGTAAGTACGTGAAGAAGGGAAATTGTTTATGGCTTTTAGTCATTGCCCAAACCTATGGACTGGATAGGTTGGAAACGGCATGCATCGAGAGAACAAAGCGTATCAAATTCACGGAATTTAAGAAAGACAACAACTTCGACAAAATCAGTGCTGCTAACTATCGGAAGATTGTTGAGGGTATGTTACAATAAAGTATAGAATGTTAAACCTACTTGAAGACCTCAGCCGAATCAAAGAAGCTTGAACATAACGTTCCCTGATACTCGAATTGTCTGGTAGTAAGACAACTCCAGACTATTTCTTGGGCCTTCAGTAACAACATGTGAGATATGAAACGCTGGGAAACGACTCACTCTGTCAGTCCCTCATATGGAAATTTTAAAACTTTTATTTCTCTTTGTATTCCAGTACAGTCAGGGCATTTTTGGCTTTGCAATAACAAAGAAAAAAAATACATACCGTGGTAAGTGGGAGTAAAATTCAGTTATTAGGGATAGGTACTCTAATCGCTGCAATTTCAAGTTTGTTTTGTTTTGGTTTGGTGAACAAAAATTAATGTGCGTGACGAGACAAATAACGTAGACTGCGCAACACCCGGGAGCACTCAAGTCTGCCACTGGGGCCTTCAAACCCTCACCCTGTTAAGGCTAAGTGCTCGATGTTGGTGATCATAACCGTAACAAAATAGATCAAGATTTGTCGTGCATCGTTCTTGCAATATAATCAGGCAAAAGAAACCGATAAATGTGTATCGAGCTTGCATTGAGCCCGAGTTCCATTGATGGTGCATATATCGTGCTTTTATCGTGCGCAACAGATCGCGCTTTGATCGAGACTGAGGTCATACCTTTGACGTGCATGCGTTTCTAGGAGACTGGGAAAATAATGGAAGAGCCAACCCGTTGAAGAGTCGATTGCCGCCGTTTCCCCTTTTGCTTAAAGTACATTCGCCTTGGAAAAAGCGTTAAATTCAGCTAGAAGATAAGGATGAAAGAAGACTTGAGTTAGGAAAGTTTACGGCGACTTGTGTGAGATAAGTCCGACTCGATGCTTAGTTTAGGACAAAGAGAAATGAAATTCTTCAGTGTAAAACGAGAACTGCAGACAGCAGATTGCATACAGGGTATAGGACAACGCAATTTTTGCGAGCCTTCTTAGATCGTGCATGGAGTAAGGTTTTGTTCTAAAGGTATTATCACTAATGCCCCTCTCTTCCCCCTTAAATGGGGCATTTATCTTACTTAAAATCTTGCTTTCGCAATGCTTAAATGGTGCGATTATCGTACATAAATGGTGCCTCAAGGCCAAAGGCACGATGCACGAAATGACAGAAAACGATAATCGAGCCTCAATGCACGATATTATGTATCGTGCATTGTCAATTTTTCGCCCCATGTAAGGGAATATAAGACAGTTCTGGATTCCGGATTCCACGCTGTGGATTCCGGATTCCAATTACCGGATTCCAGACCTTTTTTTTAGTGGAACTTGGATTTCGGATTCCAATTGTTAGTGGGATTCCAGATTCCTACATCTGTACTCCGGATTCCAAGGCCAGGATTCAGGATTCCACTGGCAAAATTTCCAAGATTCCGGTTTCCATGTGCAAAAATTTCCCGAATTTAGGAAGCCAGATTTCCTTGTGGCGAAATTTTGTGCTTCAAAAATTACGTTCTAACGCTAAAGAGTTGTTTGTTGTTCAATAACGATGAAATTTCATCAGTCAATGTTAAGCTTAGAAGAAACTCTAGAACATGTGCATCTCTAAAAGCTCTGTCTATTACGGTGAATGCAGTTTTATTGTGAAGGTAAGTGAGATCGAAACTTTATGATTTTCAGTGAAAAGTAGAGAAAAATGGCGTCTCTCATCTAAACTACATTTCGTTGACAATGACTGATTTATTTCTTCACATCAAAGCTTTATCCAAAAAAATATGTACTCGCTGTAGCGCACATTGATTGCACAACAACCGTGCAGAACATCAAGCTTTTCTATGTACGCGTTATAGCGGAACTGTAACAGTAAATGTAGCGTTAGTAATCCCATACCTACTTTCTCACTGGATTACATTTCGTCACTGATCAGTGCAGATGAAGCCAATAAACCTGAGTTTCTCAATAACCACCCATATCCACTGCGGCAGCACTTGTCTGTACCGAGGATTTGTTATATCATTGAAGTTTACTAGGATATGATCTGGTGTGGCTGCTACCCTTTAGCCTCATGCCTTGAAAGGTTAAACCCACCGCAAGTTAAGCTCCCTCCTGTATTATAGCGCTCCGGATCATCACAGCACTTGAGCCACTCCATCCTCACAAGGTAATTATAACGAATCAGATACCTCTCTATGTCTTTACCGCTGCACTCATTACAGCCCTTCTCAGATAATTTGCATATTTACGACTCCGACCGGAATGTAGAAAAGGAAGAGATAGAATCAACCAATAACAGTCCCTGTTTAAGTTGAGTGAAAGTCTAGGAGTATAACAACATTGTTCATGTTTCTACCATATAGCAGCAAGAATGTAATGCGCCAAATTCAATCAGGATAAAAATTAAACGCACTAAAGAATGACACTAACGTTTGTCTTTATCAACTATTGTTTGTTTCAGTTGACAGAGGCCATTTACGCAAGGCCGGATAGAATATATTTCCCACGGACTTCCACCGTAAATACAGCTGTAAAAGTATAAACAGATCGCTTCTGTCTGCAATTCGATCTTTATTAATCCTTGACATTTTCAACTGGAACTGAGAGATACAACTCAAAATCGCTTTACTTTTGTCATGTTAGTCCCGGCGCACGGATCATGGGAAAGCTTCAAAATCCCAAAGGCGCAAGGGAAGGATCAAGGTGAAAAGCTTCCCATGACCCCTTGGGCTGTGACTACACTATTTCAAGTAGGGCCTAGGTACAAGGCGGGTCTAAAGCAAAGATGTTAAAAGATGTTAAAAAGTGCTGACCTAAAGATGTTAAAAAGTGCTGACCTAAAGATGTTAAAAACTGCTGACCTAAAGATGTTAAAAACTGCTGACCTAAAGATGCTAAAAACTGCTGACCTAAAGATGTTAAAAACTGCTGACCTAAAGATGCTAAAAACTGCTGACCTAAAGATGCTAAAAACTGCTGACCTAAAGATGCTAAAAACTGCTGACCCAAAGATGTTAAAAAGTGCTGACCCAAAGATGTTAAAAAGTGCTGACCTAAAGACGTTAAAAAGTGCTGACATAAAGCAAACATCACTTCCATGTTTGCCTCCACGGTACTGTTGACAGAATGTCAAATCCAGCTGTTTCACTGGACTTTTCCCAGCCATGGGAACACAGCGATGTTGTGTTGGTTGTGGAAGAAGACAGATTTCATGTTCATCGCTGTATTCTGAGAATGTTGTCGGAAGTATTCTCCACGATGTTTACTGCGCAATTCAAAGATAAAACAGCCGAAGAAGTTCCTCTTCCGGGAAAATAATCAGCTGAAATCAAGGAACTGTTGCTGGTGATTTATCCAACATCTGCAAAACCGATCAATGAAAGAGTACATGATGGCAAAGCTTACTGAGAAATGTGAAAGGTACCTCATTGGTCTTTTGGGCTCCCCCGATTATTACAGTAGTGCATGTGTGTGTAAATATGGCGAGCGTGGCTATGCGAAAAAGGGAAATTGCTTAGAGCTTTTAGTCATCGCCCAAACCTATGGAATCAATAGGTTGGAATGCGAATGCGTCGAGTGGGCAAAGGATATCCAATTCTCGGAGGTGAAGAAAGACAACAACTTCGACAAAATCAGTGCTGCTAACTATCGGCAGATTGTTGAGGGTATGTTACAAGGTCAGCCTTTCTAATTAATTTTAAAAGGTTGATGAAGACCTCAGCCGTGTTAAAGGAGCTTAAGAAAAACATTTCCCGATACTTGCATTGTCTGGTAGCAAGACAACGTTTATTTCATGGACCTTCATTAACATCATACATGTGGAACGTCACTCTATCAGTCGCTCATATGGAAATTTTAAAACGTCTACCTCTTTTCGTAATGCAGTACGTCAGGGCACGGGCATGTTTGGTGTTGCAGCTAAAAAGAAAACAAATATACCGTGTAAAGTGGGAATCATATTTAATTATTAAGGATAGGTAGTCAAATCGTTGTAATTTCAAGTTTGTTTTGTTCAAAACAGAAACTAATGTGCGTGACGACATTACCCTAGCCTACCACGCAGACCGTGTTCTAGGGCCCTATTAGTGGGACAGGAACGCGTGACGAACCCCTAAGAACATCAGCGTGGGAGGCTAACAACACCTTCAAACCCTCACCCTTTTAAAAGAAAAGAATGTTCATTTTGCTATCCTGTTAAGACAAGAAACGTTATTTTAATTTATGACCTTGAATTGTTTCGTTTTGCTTACGGAATTAAGTATTTAAACTGGCGTCTTTGAATTATAAAAGTAAACGAGGTTTCAAATCAAATTCCAAGATATAAAACTCTAATATACCTCCGGATATCCTCCGATGGGAAGTGAATAGTGCTGGATATATACGGAGACGTATCCTGGCTCCAGAGGTCCGTTCTCAAAATACCTAAGATGAAATATTAAAACCGCAAATACGGTTTGATAAGGCTCCCGAGACGGAGCAGATATCTCTCCCAGTATCAGCCTAACCGATTTTGAAACGCAAATTTTCCTCCCTGTATAATCCCTACCGAATATAAGCACCCCCAAAAATAAGCCGGTCAAGATTATAAGGCCGCATTTTACGGTGTTCTGAGCTCACAAGTTTTTGAACAGCGGCTTACCATCTCAAGGCGGTAGGTACCTCATATATGATTATTATAACGTACCTAAACATATCTTACATACCGTAAATCCTCTATTACAGTCAAACCAGGTCAAGCGTTCCCGTCGCTAGCAAACTAATGAATTCATTAATGGAAAAATGATTTCGTTTGTTGATTTAATAATCCATTCATAAAATGAATAATCCAACGGTCAAATTGGACCTCGATTCAATAATCAAATGTTGATTTGGTTTATGAACAAAATCTACCTCTTCTTTATTCTTGTCTGTTGTGTTCAATCGTATTTGCTTCCCTTTTCCTGCCGTTAACGATTGCGTTTTTAATTGCCTTTAATCAAAATAACACCTTGAATAGACAGACCGCAAACGCAAAGAAACTGACCAAGGCCAGGGATCGAAATCCACCAATCACCGCACATACACTGACCTCCGTTTGACTACTGATTAATAGAAGCAAAATCTTTCTTTATTGATGAATAAGTACACAAAGCACAAGTTAACGATAATAAGATGCTAAAGCCAGAGGTTTATATGGCGTAGGTCAGAGAGTTACAATGTGCTGCTAAGTTACAATGAGAATAAAAATTAATAAGTACAAGATTTAAAGAAAAAAGGCAAACTATTACAACATATAAAGAATTATTACTGCATATAAAGCAAAATAAACATAACAATTAATGATAGTGTACAAAAAGTAATAAAGAAAAGAGTTTGAAGGTAGAAAAAAATTTGAGTTCAACTTAGTTTAAACTTATAATGATTGAAAATAATCTCTCAGTTTATGTTTATAACTAGAAAGAGTAAGTGAATTATACGAAGTGAGAGAGGAATGTCATTCCAAATTTGAGGACCCTGTACCCGAAGAGAAAAAGAATATTTGTGAGTATGAAGATGTAAGTTGTCTTTGTGCTTGGTGAGATATTGATGACAATCAGAGTTAAGAACGAAAAGAGATGAAAGAGGAGAGGGCAAGAGCTTCTGCATATGAAGGAAAACAAAGCAAGAAACTTGGTACTTATAAATATTAAATATGTTGAGTATTTTGAAAAAAAATTTGTTAAAGAGCGAGTAAGTATATGCACGTGGTGGAGAATGAGTAATGATTCTTAAAGCTTTCTTCTGGAGACGGAAAAGGGGTTGTAAATGAGAAGAGTATGTGGATGCCCAAAAAATAGAACAGTATTGAAGATATGGGAGTATTAAAGAGTTGTATAATGTGCAAAGAGTATTAGAAAGGAAAAACTGTCGTGATTTGATAATAATCCCAGTGGATTTAACAATTTTGGAAGAAATGGCTTTTATATGAGCCTGCCATAAGAGGTTGTGATGGATGATAACACCTAAGAATTGTGTGTGTTCTACTCTATTAATACTATTCTTATCAATGTTAATAGAAAGACCATCAAGATTTATTTTCTTTCTTGCAGGGTGAAACAAAATAAATTTAGTCTTGTCAGGATGCAAAGTTAGCTTGTTAGCTTTGAACCAGGTAGCCACAAAAGAAAGTTCATGGTTCACTATTTTAGTTAGTTCAGAGAAAATATTAGTGTCGTCTGCAAAAAGGATGAATGAGAGATAATTAGAGCATAAAAAAATGTCATTAATGTAAATAAGAAATAAAAGTGGCCCTAACACAGAACCCTGAGGAACACCACATTTACTTGGAAGCAGTGGAGATTTCCAGGAATCACTTTGAACATATTGAGAGCGAGAGAGGAGATAGCTATGCATCCAGTTAAAAGGTGTGCCTCGAATACCATAGAAGTTTAATTTATCTAAGAGGATTGCACAATGCTCGTATTGAGGCCCGGGAGTGATGATTTAACCCACTCGTTAAGTTTGATCTCTAATTTATCCCAGTGATCTTCAAAAGTCGAATCAGTTGGATCGATAGCATCATTAGCCATAGGAGGTTTCCTTTTTGGTTCCATAATGGAAAAATGTGAGAGATTATAACCTTGATTGCATTTATTTGTAGAGCACAAAATTAGGCAGCCATCTTGGCTCGCTGACCGCTGACCGGTCAGCGTACATGTAACAGTTTGTTTGGGTTTGAACTTCAGAACTCGCCCGCACTCGACTCTTAGAAAAAAGAAGAAAAAACAAAATTCTGAGGTCGACTTGTGGAAAGTGTAGTTTTTCAATCGCACCATGTTGGTGTCACAAACAAGTGCTGTGGGAGTTGAACTCTTTTCTTATGCAAACGCTTTCTTTTGTTTCAATAAATTTGCGTAGATGCTGCCCACGTGAGTGAAAACGCTCTATATGTGTGATACTTAGCCTTTCTGACCTCGTTTGAAAGTAAGAATTCTTTTGTATTTTGCACATGAAAACGAGGTCAGAAAGGCTAATTATAATACATATAAAAGAATATATTAATAGGCCTCCATTACCAAAGAGGTCTATACGCCAGCTTTCCTGTCCATCCTTACAGTTTAAGGAGGGGAGGGGCGACTGTAAAGGAAGGTAGGGGAAGGGACAAGAAGCTTGCTTTTGTCTTTATGGTGAGAAAATAGCCAGTTTAGAGTCAATCTTGAAGTTGCTTTTCAAAAAGCGTATTTTCAAGGCTTCGCTTTTGGTATAGTCACGCTTTTGTCAGGCTCCGTGACCAAACTAGTTTCGGGTAGAAATAAAAAATTGTAGCGGGCTAATTAACGCGTGACAATTTGCATGTGTTGCACCTTAGGTCGTGTCCACACCAATGCGTTTCCTTTTAAAAACGCGTACATTTCGATGCGTTTACCTTCGGTCCACACCACACTAATACGCTGAGCGGTTTCATCGAAAACGCGTCGATTTGAAAACGCTCTTGAAAGTGTATCAAGACGAGAAAGTATATCATTAGCTTCCTTTCCCTTTTCACATACAATATCAGAGAAAATAAAATTGTACCATGTCACTGCTAAAATCCTGTAGCCATCGATCCTTCAAGGTTGTAGTTCCTAAGCTGTGAAATACCGCTTAATCCTTCGATAGAGATATTTACGAAAACTCTATAGACGCAGTGTTTTATGTCTTTCAGGAAATCGCGCATGAAAGGTAGCTCAAATAGGAATCTTTTCCAGACTGAACAGGGTAATTGCTTAACCCATTCCCTCAATTTTCAATTTTTCCGTCAATTTGCCATTATTATTATTATTACATTGTGTTTATTTTACTTTATTCTTTTTTTTTTGCGTTTTTCTCTGCCTGTTTGACTTTATCTTGCTCTTTCATGTATGGTTTAAAAGATTTTAACAGCTTAACCTTTGACCTCACACGTTCGTATTTTGAACGAGTTTTATAGCTCCTCGATATTAAGTGTCAAAATAAATGATTGATTGATAGTCGCGTGCGAGAAAAGTAGAAGCACTTCTTATGTAGTTTAATTGCTCTTTCAAACACTGAATGGATTTGTCGTAATCCCGTACCTATTTTCTCACTGGATTATATTCCGTCACCGATCAATACAGATGAAGCCAAAAAACCTGAGTTTCTCAATGATCACCCATATCCACTGCGGCAGCACTTATGTCTATACCGAGGATTTCTTATATCATTGAAGTTTACTAAGATATGATTTGGTGTGGCTGCTACCCTTTAGCCCTCATGCCTGGCAAGGTTAAACCTACCGCAAGTTAAGCTCCCTACAGTATTATAGCGCTCCGGAAAATCATAGCACTTGAGCCACTCCATCTTGACAAGGTAATAATAACGAATCAGATACCTCTCTATGTCTTTACCGCTGCACTCTATTCTCTTAGATTTTTTCATGACAGCCCATCTGACATAATTTGCATATTTACGACTCGGACTGGAGTGTAGAAAAGGAAGAGATAGAGTCGCAGCTATTGCTAGCAGACATAATCGCTAATAATGCTAATAAATGTTAAAAGCTCCCATTGACGTCTGCCTGTAGGTTTGGCCTGACCGTGGGAGATCTGGCAACGAGAACAAGGTCTTCCACTTCCCATCTTTCCTTGCGAGCTCTCTTCACTTCTTCATATTAAACATCTGCGTTCGCAGTAGCGTTTTGTCTACCCCGGCGTGCTTTTGGTTGCGCTTCATTGTTGCCCTTCGTGATTTCGTCGTCCATCAGTGCTCCAAACAATGTCAAACGCAAGAGATTCGCTAGACTTCTCTAACCCATGGCAATTCAGCGACGCCGTGTTAGCCGTGGAAGGAGACAGATTTCATGTTCATCGCAATATCTTGGGAATGTGGTCCCCAGTTTTCACGATGATGTTTGCTGCAGAGACCGCCAACCTTTTTCCTCTCTCGGGAAAGAAATCAGCTGAAATTAAGGAAATGCTGTTGGTCATTTATCCTACATCTGGGAAACCGATCGATCAGACTAACTACGCATTCCTTCTAGACCTCGCGACGGAGTACAAGATGATGAAGCTCACTGAAAAATGCGAAAACTACCTGATCCTTAGATTAGAAAAAGAACATACTCAGTTCCAGCTGCCGAGGCAGATTTCATTTGCCCTTCCAAAAGGTTTAGAAAAAGAGGCTTCTGAGTTCCCGCTGCAGTTTCACCCGTTTGTCCCTGAGAAAGATTTCATAGACAAGTGCCTTGAGCTTCTGAATATTGGCCAGAACTATGGACTGGACAGCCTACAAAGCGCTTGCATTGAGTTAGCGATGCGTTTTGAATTCCAGGAACTAACAACTGACACGAATTACAAGAACATTTCTGTGTCCAACCGTGAAAGAATTTTAGAGGGTATGGTTAGAAGAACAGAGGAAGAGCTCAAGAAGAAAGAACAAATGATAATATCTATAAAAAATCAACATTCCCATGCAAATGGGAATGCTGTAGCCGCGATTCAGGAGCTGGAGAATATAATTTATATTGTCTTTGTCGCTTGTAAAGCAAATTATCTTCCCGCCTCAATATATGAGAAACTAGATTGTATCGGTCGTTCAAATGGAGAGTTGAGGAAACTAGCACGTCCCTTGAGAGGTCTCCATGATAAATTGAGGGAATTGAATTATACCTGGTAAATTATAGAATCTCAGTTAAACTAGACCCGAGATTACTGTAATACTGAGATGAGGCGCAAGATGTTCGCTAAAAAAATACATTGAGGAAGTATAAATAAGCCTTAACAATAGTCTTCCGATAGCTATTTTCGCTAGAAAAAAGAGGGCAGTGATTTTCATCGTAAAGGACCGGAGTTGCGGGGCTAGAAAATCTTTAGATTTTTTTCATTGACTGATGTTTCCTTATTCACTATATCTGTTTTCCACGATCAAAAACACATCTCGATCATGATGTTAATAGACATAGATCGAAGTGAGATTTATGAATAATAAATTCACTGAGACAGACAGCAATGATTTGAGTGTCATTGTAAACCAAATAGGCTTTTTTGTAGGTGGCCAGTCACGTGGTACTAATACGCCAATGCTGGAGGGCTACAATGTAGTGAGGTCCTATCCGCACCTGCGACTAATGTAATGCGGCAAATATCAATCAGGAAAAAAATTAAACGCACTAAAGAGTGACATTAACGTTTGTCTTTATCAACTATTGTTTGTTTAAGTTAACAGAAGCCATTTGCGCACGTAGAATATATTTCCCACGGACTTCCACCGTAAAAAAAAGCTGTAGAAGTATAAACAGATAGCTTCTGTTTGCAATTCTTATCATTTTTCCTTGACATTTTCTACTGGAACTGAGCGATACAACTCAAAATCGCTTTACTTTTGTCATGTTAGTCCCGGCGCACGGATCATGGGAAAGCTTCAAAATCCCAACGGCGCAAGGGAAGGGTCAACGTGAAAAGCTTCCCATGACCCCTTGGGCTGTGACTATACCATTCCAAGGCAGGTCTAAAACAAATATCACTTCCATGTTTGCCTTCACAATACTGATTAGAGAATGTCAAATCTAGCTGCTTTACTGGACTTTTCCCAGCCAGGGGAACACAGCGATGTTGTGTTGGTTGTGCAGATTTCATGTTCATCGCTGTATTCTGGGGATGTGGTCCGAAGTATTCTCTAAGATGTTTACTGCACAATTCAAAGAGAAAACAGCCGAAGAAGTCCCTCTTCCGGGAAAGAAATCAGTTGAAATCAGGGAAATGCTGCTGGTGATTTATCCAACGTCCACAAAACTGATCGGTGAAAGCAATTGTTCTTTTTTACTTGACCTAGCGAAAGAGTACATGATGACTAAGATCACTGAGAAATGTGAAATTTACCTCATTGGCCGCGTTTGGGCTCTCCCGTGAGTAAGTGTGGTGTATGCAAATGTGGAAAATCTCGTGACTATCTGAAGAAGGGAAATTGTAAGAGCTTTTAGTCATCGCCCAAAACTATGGACTCAATAGGTTGGAAAGGGAATGCATCGCGATAGCAAAGCACATCCAATTCTCGGAGCTGAAGAAAGACAACAACTTTGACAAGATCAGTGCTGCTTACTATCGGAAGATTGTTGAGGGTATGTTACTATAAATTATAGAATGTCAAACCCACGTGAAGACCTCAGCTGTGTCAAAGAAGCTTGAAAATAACATTCCCTGATACTTGCACTGTCTGGTAGTAAGACAACTCCTATTTCATGGACATTCATTAACATCATACTTAATTATATGAGATGTGAAACGCTGGGAAACGATTCACTCAGTCACTGACTGACTCACTCTTAAAACGTTTATTGCTCTTTGTATTCCAGTACAGTTCCAGGGCATTTTTGGCATTGCAATAATAAAGAAAAGAGATACATACCGTGGTAAGTGGGAGTCAAATTCAGTTATTAGAGATACGTAGTCAAATCGCTGCAATTTTAAGTTTTTATTGGTTTGGTTCGGTGAACAAAAACTAATGTGCGTGACGAGACAAATAACGTAGACTGCGCAACACCAGGGAGCACTCAAGTGTACCACCGGGGCCTTCAAACCCCCACCCTGTTAAGGCTTAGTGCAAGGTGTTGATGATCATAGCCGTAACAAAATAGATCAAGATTAGTCGTGCATCGTTCTTGCAATATAATCAGGCAAAAGAAACCGATAAATGTGTATCGAGCTTGCATTGAGCCCGAGTTCCATTGATGGTGCATATATCGTGCTTTTATCTAGCTTTTATCGTGAGCAACAGATCGTGCTTTGATCGAGACTGAGGTCATACCTTGGACGTACATACGTTTCGAGGAGACTGGGAAAATAATGGAAGAGCCAACCCGTCGAAGAGTCGATTGCCCCCGTTTCCCCATTTGCTTAAAGTACATTCGCCTTGGAAAAAGCGTTAAATTCAGCTAGAAGATGAGGATGAAAGAAGACTTGAGTTAGGAAAGTTTACGACAACTTGTGTGAGATAAGTCCGACTCGATGCTTAGTTCAGAACAGAGAGAAATGAAATTCGTCAGTGTAAAACGAGAACTGCAGACAGCAGATTGCATACAGGGTATAGGACAACGCAATTTTTGCGAGCCTTCTTAGATCGTGCATGAAGTAAGGTTTTGTTCTAAAGGTATTATCACTGATGCCTCTCTCTTCCCGCTTAAATGGGGCATTTATCTTACTTAAAATCTTGCTTTCACAATGCTTAAATGGTGCGATTATCGTGCATAAATGGTGCCTCAAGGCCAAAGGCACGATGCACGAAATGACAGAGAACGATAATCGAGCCTCAATGCACGATATTATGTATCGTGCATTGTCAATTTTTCGCCCCATGTAAGGGAACATAAGACAGTTCTGGATTCCGGATTCCACGCTGTGGATTCCGGATTCCAATTACCGGATTCCAGACCTTTTTTTAGTGGAACTTGGATTCCGGATTCCAATTGTTAGTGGGATTCCGGATCCCTACATCTGTATTTCGGATTCCAAGGCCCAGGATTGGGGATTCCACTGGCAAAAATTTCCAAGACTCCGGTTTCCACATGCGAAAATTTCCCGGATTAAGGAACCCGGATTCCCTTACATGTGGCGAAATTTTGTGCTTCAAAAATTACGTTCTAACGCTAAAGAGTTGTTGGTTATTCTATAACGATGAAATTTCATCAGTCAATGTTAAGCTTAGAAGAAACTCTAGAACATGTGCATCTCTAAAAGCTCTGTCTATTACGGTGAATGCAGTTTTATTGTAGAGGTAAGTGAGATCGAAACTTTATGATTTTCAGTGAAAAGTAGAGAAAAATGGCGTCTCTCATCTACACTACATTTCGTTGACAACGACTGATTTATTTCTTCACATCAAAGCTTTATCCAGAAATCATGTAGTCGCTGTAACGCACATTGATTGCACAACAACGGTGCAGAAAATCAAGCTTTTCTATGTACGCGTTATAGCGGAACTGTAACAGTAAATGTAGCGTTAGTAATCCCATACCTACTTTCTCACTGGATTACATCTCGTCACCGATCAGTGCAGATGAAGCCAATAAACCTGAGTTTCTCCATAACCACCCATATCCACTGCGGCAGCACTCTTGTCTGTACCGAGGATTTCTTATATTATTGAAGTTTACTAGGATATGATTTGGTGTGGCTGCTAGCCTTTAGCCTCATGCCTTGAAAGGTTAAACCTACCGCAAGTTAAGCTCCCTTCTGTATTATAGCGCTCCGGATCATCAAAGCACTTGAGCCACTCCATCCTCACAAGGTAATTATAACGAATCAGATACCTCTCTATGTCTTTACCGCTGCACTCATTACAGCCCTTCTCAGATAATTTGCATATTTACGACTCCGACCGGAATGTAGAAAAGGAAGAGATAGAATCAACCAATAACAGTCCCTGTTTAAGTTGAGTGAAAGTCTAGGAATATAACATTGTTTATGTTTCTACCATATAGCAGCAAGAATGTAATGCGCCAAATTCAGTCAGGATAAAAATTAAACGTACTAAAGAATGACACTAACGTTTGTCTTTATCAACCATTGTTTGTTTCAGTTGACAGAGGCCATTTGCGCAAGGCCGGATAGAATATATTTCCCATGGACTTCCACCGTAAATAGAGCTGTAAAAGAATAAACAGATCGCTTCTGTCTGCAATTCGTATCTTTATTAATTCCTTGACATTTTCAACTGGAACTGAGCGATACAACTCAAAATCGCTTTACTTTTGTCATGTTAGTCCCGGCGCACGGATCATGGGAAAGCTTCAAAATCCCAAAGGCGCAAGGGAAGGATCAAGGTGAAAAGCTTCCCATGACCCCTTGGGCTGTGACTACACTATTTCAAGTAGGGCCTAGGTACAAGGCGGGTCTAAAGCAAAGACGTTAAAAGGTGTTAAAAAGTGCCGAGCTAAAGACGTTAAAAAGTGCTGACATAAAGCAAATATCACTTCCATGTTTGCCTCCACAGTACTGTTCAAAGAATGTCAAATCCAGCCGGTTCGCTTGATTTTCCCAGCCATGGGAACACAGCGATGTTGTGTTGGTTGTGGAAAAAGACAGATTTCATGTTCATCGCTGTATTCTGGGGATGTTGTCGGAAGTATTCTCCACGATGTTTACTGCGCAATTCAAAGAGAAAACAGCCGAAGCAGTTCCTCTTCCAGGAAAAAAAATCAGCTGAAATCAAGGAAATGTTGCTGGTGATTTATCCCACGTCTGCAAAACCGATCGATGAAAACAACTACACATTCCTACTCGACCTAGCGAAAGAGTACATGATGGCAAAGCTTACTGAGAAATGTGAAAGTTACCTCATCGGTCGTTTGGGCTCTCCCCAGAGTAACAGAGGTGACTGTGTGTGTGGATATTCAGGGCGTAATTATTGGAAGAATGGAAATTGCTTAGAGCTTTTAGTCATCGCCCAAACCTATGGACTGGATAGTTTGGAAACGGCATGCATCCAGAGAGCAAAGCGTATCAGATTCGCGTACATGAAGAATGACAACGACTACGACAAAATCAGTGCTGATAACTATCGGAAGATTGTTGAGGGTATGTTTGAGGATTTTTAAGCATGAAATGGTTCACAAAACATGAAGACCTCAAACGTGTTAAATGAGCTTGAAAAATATTTCCTGTTACAGCGTGACATCGGGTCACGTGAAACTTGACGTTTTCAATCATGTGACTCTAGCGCTTTCGTTTTCTGTTCTGAAATAAATTTCTCTCTGTGTGGTTGATATTAATCGATGTGGAACCTTAAGTCAATAAGATCCTTTGACTCCTTCAAGAACCAGCGATTAACGCCCCATAAAGCATTACTTTCTCTTACAGGTAGTATTCATGGACCGTCATCAACATCTTACCTTATTCTACGAGATATGAAACGTCATTCAGTCAGTCTCTCATATGGAAATTTTAAAAATTTTACAACCTTATTCCCAGGGTTCTCTGCTTCTCGCCCTACGGAGCTCCGTAGGGCGGGTAGGAGAGAACCCCGGGAACGAGGTTGAAACTTTTATTGCTCTTTGTATTCCAGTACAGTCAGGGAATTTTTGGCATTGCAGTTACAAAGAAAACAAATACATACCGTGATAAGTGGGGTAAAATTAAATTATCGTTGCAATTTCAAGTTTGTGTTGTTTTGTTGAACAAAAACTACTGTGCGTGACGAGACGCAACACTCGGCGTGGGGTAGCCTGAATTTCATCCGGTTACTTCGAGTCGTAATTACTCCCTCAGTGACGTCTGAATCGACCGGCCGTTATGATGCAGTCCAGTGACGTCAATTTCCTTTAATTGAAAAGAAGCTATTTGGTCCTTAACGTAGAAAAATGAAAACAAGGAAACAAGAAAGAAAAGCTAACATGATCATTACACTTAACGGTGAAAATAGCTAGAAGGTCGAATTACAACATTGGTCAATCGGCGCCTGCATTGGTCTCGGAAACTTCGCATAAGCAAAATCACTGCGGAAACCATAAAGCGGCTCTAAACGAAAAACCTGTCTACCGACTTTCTGCAATGATTCTTCATTCGCATTTCAATTGAGCAATTCAGTTTCGAAGACAAGGGCAATTTTGCTGTTTACGATAAAGATTATCGAAATGTTTGGAATCCAGGCAAGCATATCCGCTGAATATCAAGCGATAATCCCGCTAAAATTTCTCATAATAATACCTAATTATGCGAATATTTAGTCAATCAACCAATCAAAATCACTACCTGGTTTTTGGGTAGTGACGTCACTGGACTGCGGAGAAAACGACTCGAAGCAATCGGATGAAATTCTGGCTAGCGCGCGCAGCATTCAAGTGTGTCACTGAGCCCTTCCAACCCCCACCTTTTAAGAGAAAGATTATTCATTTCGCTTCCCGTTTAAAACAAGAGTCGTTCTTTTATGACCTTGAATCGCTTTGTTTTGCATACAGAATCCCAGGCTATAACTTATAAGCATACACTGATGAGATTTTTACGTGAATCATATTGTGAATCACGTTACAAAACATCCCGGTATATCGCTGGAAGTTCAAAACTAGCCTCCCTGTGCAATGTTGGAGCCCGAAAAAATTTCAATGGCCTCCCTGACCCTTTTTTCTTTGTTTACACGTC